AAGGTGTGAGCGTACTTGTGCCTCGTACAGAATCTTGCAACCCCTACTGTCAAGTAGATGCGAGATACGGCGAAGTGCTGTAAGCTTCCTGGCTGCCTTGTTTGCAAGATTTACAATATGGTTCTTCATGGTTAGTTTGGAGTCAAATTTCACCCCAAGGATATCAACTTCTTCTCCAGGTGCCAACACCCTCCCATTCATCCTTACTACTGCACCAGCATTACCATCATGGTGCCTAGAGACCATCATTGGCGTTTTCTCAGGTGCAAATGTTACTTGCCATCTATTTCCCCAAGCTGATATAGCTCTCGGCTGGTGATTGATGTAGCTTAGAGCAGCTGGCATTTCTTCTCTTGGATAAGTTAATGTCAGTGTGCAGTCGTCCGCATATGCATGTGATTCTGGGATGAGATGAAGAAGGTCGTTGAAGTAGACATTCCATAACAATGATCCCAGCACGCTTCCTTGTGGGACACTTGCCCCAATAGGATGTCTTGCTGATTCCGTTTCATTGAGAACTACATTTACAGATCTACCATGAAGGTAATCACTGAGGAGACATAGCATAGAGCCTGCAATTCCCAGTGCTTGAAGTTTTGCTAAGAGGCCCTGGTGCCACACCCGGTCGAAAGCGCCAGCAATGTCCAGTGCTACCACACAGCTGACTTTGGATTCATCCAGTGACTGGTGCCACTTAGTGGAGAGGTTTAACAACAGATCATCATCAGAGTAACCTTTCCTGAAGCCATATTGACGATCACAAAGTAGTGAGTGACAGTCAAAAAACTCTGTCATTTGTCTTGAGATTATTGTCTCAAGGATCTTACCAGTGATTGACAGGAGTGACACTGGTCTGTAGTTGCTGATTTCTGCTCTGCTCTTTTTTTTGTGAACAGGGACTACATTTGCCTCTTTCCATAGAGGGGGCCATTTACACTGTACTAGGCAGTGCTGAAAGATGCGAGTTAGAGGTGCTGCTAGCTGGTCTGCACATCTTCTCAGCAATCTTGGGCTCAACTTGTCTGGGCCCACAGCCTTTTCTTGGTCAAGCGATTTAAGAAGGAAATGCACCTCCTCCTGCCTTATTGTCACCACTGACAGTTTTGACACAGTTCTTGCAGCTAGCCAAGGAGGGTCCCTTGCTGGATCAGGAACTTGCATTTTGGTAGCAAAGTGTTCAGCAAAGAGGTCCGCCTTCTCTTGACTACTAGTAAAGGTGGTCCCATCCTGTCGATTTAGAGGTGGAATGAGTTCATCAGGCAGATAACCTTGTCTGTCCTTGACCAGGGACCACCAGGTTTTGGAGCCTACCCTACCTGATGCTAGCTTTCTTTTAGTGTCCACCTCCCATTTAGCTATGGCCCACTTTTGAACGTCACCCATATGTCTACAGGCTTGCCTGTGCAAGTTCCTGTTATAGGTGGTAGGATGTCTCTTATACCTTCGCCATGCGTTGTACTTAGCAGTAGCAGCCTCTCTACAACGAAAGCCAAACCAAAGCTGATCCGTAGGCTTTGTCACATATTGCCAGTGAGGAATGTGTTCTTGTTGTAGATTAAGGATGTGTCCAGTGAAGGCTTTCACTTGGTTGTCAACATCCCCTTGCAGAAGAGCATTCCAATCGGTGGTGGCGAGCTCAGAGCGAAGGGCTGGCCATAGCCAGGTTGTGCGTGTGGACTCCTCACCTCGTTCTGTTGGGATCTTAAGTGTCGTAAAAACAGCCTTGTGGTCAGACGATCCAACACAGCCGAGGGGTTGACAAGTGACTATGCCTTCTGCCAGATCACTCATTACTGGGTCAAGGGAGGAGCCAGGGATGTGAGAAGGGAAATCAACAAAGTTTCTCATGTCAAACACTGCAAGAAGGTCATCAAAGTCCCTCTGTATAAGGTGCTGGTTGAGGTCACCAACAATTATGATATGTCGACAGTTGTGTTGTAGCAGAAGGGAGTCAATATTTTCCATTAGGAAGTTGATGGGATCTGCATGTTGCCACTGAGGTCTGTACATTGCACATGCTAGTACAGAGGTACCAGTGTTTATGCAGAGCATGAAGAACATCATTTCAAGATGTGTAGGGGTGGCAACATCAATGTGCTGGGCATGAACACTTTTAGAGAAGCACACAGCAACACCTCCTCCTTGCCCTTGCCTGTCTCTTCTCATCCATGAGGTGTAGCCAGCAATTCTTGCAAAATTTTCTGGAGTCCTGTCATCCAAAAATGTTTCAACAACAGCTATCATGTCGGGACGTCGAGTGTTCACAAAACTGTGTGTGAGCTCTCCAACATTAGTAATGAAACCTCTAATGTTGGCCGACAGGATGCTGATAGACTGGCTCCTCATGATGATGTGGTCAGCTTGAGGTGGTGGGTGTGTAGGGCATGTCAACTTTTCTCTCCCCATCTTCTCTAAATGCCCAAACCACCTCAATAACCCCCCTCCTCAGCTCTCTGAATTATACACATGGTGACCCAACATCACCTTTCAATTTCTACTCTACAAATACTCAGCTGATGAGGGAAAAAGAGTGAGTGGTGCACTTAGGAGTCTGTGGAGACAAAGAACTTTGTCCTTGGAGGCAAAGAGGGGAATGTATGAGAGTATAGTTTTACCAACGCTCTTATATGGGTGTGAAGCGTGGGTAATGAATGTTGCAGCGAGGAGAAGGCTGGAGGCAGTGGAGATGTCATGTCTGAGGGCAATGTGTGGTGTGAATATAATGCAGAGAATTCGTAGTTTGGAAGTTAGGAGGAGGTGCGGGATTACCAAAACTGTTGTCCAGAGGGCTGAGGAAGGGTTGTTGAGGTGGTTCGGACATGTAGAGAGAATGGAGCGAAACAGAATGACTTCAAGAGTGTATCAGTCTGTAGTGGAAGGAAGGCGGGGTAGGGGTCGGCCTAGGAAGGGTTGGAGGGAGGGGGTTAAAGGAGGTTTTGTGTGCGAGGGGCTTGGACTTCCAGCAGGCATGCGTGAGCGTGTTTGATAGGAGTGAATGGAGACAAATGGTTTTTAATACTTGACGTGCTGTTGGAGTGTGAGCAAAGTAACATTTATGAAGGGATTCAGGGAAACCGGCAGGCCGGACTTGAGTCCTGGAGATGGGAAGTACAGTGCCTGCACTCTGAAGGAGGGGTGTTAATGTTGCAGTTTAAAAACTGTAGTGTAAAGCACCCTTCTGGCAAGACAGTGATGGAGTGAATGATGGTGAAAGTTTTTCTTTTTCGGGCCACCCTGCCTTGGTGGGAATCGGCCAGTGTGATAATAAAAATAAAATAAATACTCAGCATAGGAATTGGGTTTTGTGTACAAGGGGCCTGGACATGCAGCAGGCATGTGTGAGGATGTTCAATAGGAGTAAATGGAGACAGATGGTTTTTGGGATCTGATGAGCTGTTGGAGTGTGAGCAGGGTAATATTTTGTTGAAAGGATTCAGGGTAACTGGCTAGCCTGTCTCGAGTCCTGGAGGTGGGATGTACAATGCCTGCACTTTGAAGGAGGGGTTTGGGATACTGGCTGTTTGGAGTGACATCTAAACTGTTATATCTGGGCACCTCTGCCAAGATAGTGATTATGTGTGAATGATGGTGAAAGTGCTTTCTTTCTTATTTGGGTCACCATGCCTCGTTGGGAGATGGCAGACGTGTTGAAAAAATTCTCGAGAGATTCTGTAGAGAAATTGTAAAGATTGGTAGAGGAATTTGGGAGTATATTTAAAAGGAAATCAAAAGTCTACACAGGAAAGAGCTAGGTGATAAGTTAAAAAAAAAAAAAAATCTAGCCAATGAAAGACTGGATATCAGATTGGAAGACGGGAGTATGAAGTAAATGTGGTCAGCTATTTGGGAGTGAATTTGTTGGGGGATGGGCATACGCAGGAGATGAACCACAAAACTGACGAGGGTAAGGTGGGTGACACCGAGTCGTCTGTGGAGACAGTGAACTTTATCCATGAGACCGGCCCATGGCTGGGCTAAGAGAGTAGATTAACTCTCAAAACTCTTCAAAGGTATATATGGAAGCAAAAATGGGAAGCATACCAGAGTACATTGGTGCCAACATTGCTGCATGGGTATGAGGTATGAGTTATAAATGCTGAGGCAAGTAGGCTGGAGGCAGTGGAGATGTCATATTTGAAGGAAATATTTAGTGTGAATACCATTCAGAAAAATCAGAGCTTGGAAATAAGGTGTAGGGTTACCAAAAGTGTTATTCAGAGGGATAATGAGGGGTTGTTGGGGTGGTTTGCATATTTAAAGGGTGGAGCAAATCAGGATGACCAGGATGATGTATAAATCAGGGGTGGGGTGAAGCAGAGATAGGGTTAACCTAAGAAGATTGGTGGGAAGGAATAAAGGTCACTGAGTGCTAGGGGATTAGACATCCAACAGGCTTGTGCGAGCATATTAGGAGTGAGCCGAAGCAAGTAGTTTTTATGACTAGCTGTACTGCTGGAATGCAAACAAAGTAACATTTATGAAGGGTTTCAGGAAAACAGATCAGTCAGACAAAGCCATGGAGGTGGAAAGTAGAGTGCCTGCACTCTGGAGTGGTGGGGAAGTTGCAGTTTGGAGGGTCATCTGAACTGTGATGTTTATGCACATCTGGCAAGTGTGCTTGAATGAATGAATGAAAATCTCTCTCTTTAGGGTCATCCCCCCTCAGTAGAGGTAGGAGACAGCCAGTGTGTTAAAGTAATACACACACTGTATTATGAGGAAAGTAACAAATTTCTGATATGCACTACCACTGTACTGTTTTAATATTTTATTCAAATTTGCTTATTTCACTTAAAGAATTTTTGACATTTTGTATTAAGGTTTAATTTTTACTTGGAAAAATTTAGACAAGAAAGCCAACTACTATATACGTACTATATAGATGAATTCAAATGTGCATGTTTACACAACTACTGCTCTCAAGTACTTCAAACATCCTCACCCCTACCCTTAACAGTAAGCATAATTTGACTAGAGGTGTACGTTTCATTAATACTTACCACTCAAAAGGTTGTTGATATGAGGTGGCAAATCGAGGGAGGATCGCCGGGAATTTGCAGTAGATCCCATAACAGGGCTCTCTCTTTTTGAGAAAAATTGTTTTAATCGTGATGAGCCAACCCCACCATTACCAGTATTATTAGCTGCCACTGCTTCATCTGGGCCACCTAGAGTAAGCCAGCATATATATGCCATTATGCTTTCTAAAAAATAATGCTCTTAATAAATTAAAATTATTAAAAGTTCATTTCTGACATATATTTATATACAGATAAAGTCTCTCTTGATATGAAACACTGTACCACACCTATCTTAAAAAATAAAATATTACAGCTGACCTTATCAAATAGCAGACATGATAAAATTTAAAAAGGTAAATAACTCTATTCACAACAAACAGACTAAAAATTTTCAAATAATTACAGCACAATAAAATTAAATTCATCTTTACTCTTCTATTTTTACCCTTAATTTATTATCTTAAGTGTAATGTTGCTTTACATATGAACTGGCTCTCCCTTTACTTAAATTTAAAGTACTGTACATAAGTGTTTCCCTTGCAATCACAGCTAATAAGCATCATAGTGATTCTAAAAGTGTTCATGCTATTAAGTAATGTACATTACGAAGGTATTATTCCAAGAAAAAATAGATAGTATAGCATTGTAAAATGATATGAAAGGGTCAAACTCCTAACATTCAAATCACAAGCTCTCTTATGCTACACCAACCATTAACACAATTGTGAAAGAAAGAAAACATATGAAAAACACACAAAAGGTTTCTGCACCTACAAAGTTAATGACTACGAAACTTATTCTTACGGCAATCCAGAAGTCTAGTCTTTACCAAGACTTCAAGACAATCTAACATTTATTTAATGCGAGCTTCTATACAGCATTAATGTTTTAAAAGCTTGCTCTGTGCCTTCAAATCAAACACACTTGTCCTATGGCTATCGCATCCATGATGTAATTTATGCTTTCTCCTTTCACAAATTTTTAAGGTAATTCAACCTTCCTCTCAACTGCTAGAGAATTTCTCTAACATTTCACTAACACACGATAAAGTCCAGTACATGTAGCTTTTTTTTTTATAGCCTTTTCACGTGTATAAATCTTATGACCAGCATAAGTTTCTGGCATTATTGAAGTCCAGAAATTATGTAAAAAAAAAATTAACCCAGAGTTACATATATGAGCACTTTACAGATGAATAAAATCAGTAAATCAGTAAATGAAGATAGGTGCTTCACCAGAGTAGCAGTTGCTAAGAAAAAAAAAAAAAAGGCAAAGTGCCACCTCCCGCACTTCAACAAGTGAGCAACATGATAGCAGGATGTCAGAGCCCTAAATTGGCAGATGGCACAATGCTTGAGCCAAGTAGTACAGAAATAATCAAATGTGTACATAATTAAAATCAATCGAATCTGAAAAACTTGCTTCTCAATTTTCTTATTTTCCCCCCTATTTTTTTTCATTCAGAGTGCAGGCATTGCATTTTAAAGGATGGTTGGGGCTGCTGCAGTTCAACAGGTCATTTACATTGTGACATCCATACACTTCTGGCAAGACAGCTAGAAAATGAGTGATGGTAAACCCAACTACTTTGGGTCACCCCATCTTTGCAAGAAACAGCCAGTTAAGAAAATATATAAACACTATAAATGTATTAATTCAAGGATTATGTGGAGTAAAATAAAGATTGGATGTGAAAAGTGGGTTATAATAAGTGTGTATGCACATGGAGAAGAGAGAAGTGTAGAGGAGAGAGATTTTGGGAAATGTTAAGTGAATGCGTGGGGAGTTTTGAATCAAGTGTGAGAGTAATGGTGGTTGGGGATTTCAATGCTAAAGTGAGTAAAAATGTTATGGAGGGATTAGTAGGTAAATTTGGGGTGCCAGGGGTAAATGTAAATGGGGAGCCTTTAATTGAGCTATGTGTAGAAAGAAATTTGGTAATAAGTAATACATATTTTATGAAAAAGAGGATAAATAAATATACAAGGATAGATGTAGCACATAATGAAAGTAGTTTATTAGATTATGTATTGGTGGATAAAAGGTTGATGGGTAGGCTCCAGGATGTACATGTTTATAGAGGGGCAACTGATATATCGGATCATTATTTAGTTGTAGCTACAGTTAGAGTAGGAGGTAGATGGGAAAAGAGGAAGGTGGCAACAACAAGTAAGAGGGAGGTGAAAGTGTATAAACTAAGGGAGGAGGAAGTTCGGGTGAGATATAAGCGACTATTGGCAGAAAGGTGGGATAGTGCAAAGATGAGTAGTGGGGGGGTTGAAGAGGGTTGGAATAGTTTTAAAAATGCAGTATTAGAATGTGGGGCAGAAGTTTGTGGTTATAGGAGGGTGGGGGCAGGAGGAAAGAGGACTGATTGGTGGAATGATGAAGTAAAGGGTGTGATAAAAGAGAAAAAGGTAGCTTATGAGAGGTTTTTACAAAGCAGAAGTGTTATAAGAAGAGCAGAGTATATGGAGAGTAAAAGAAAGGTGAAGAGAGTGGTGAGAGAGTGCAAAACGAGAGCAGATGATAAGAGTGGGAGAGGCACTGTCAAGAAATTTTAATGAAAATAAGAAAAAAATTTGGAGTGAGTTAAACAAGTTAAGAAAGCCTAGGGAAAGTATGGATTTGTCAGTTAAAAACAGAGTAGGGGAGTTAGTAGATGGGGAGATGGAGGTATTAGGTAGATGGCAAGAATATTTTGAGGAACTTTTAAATGTTAAGGAAGAAACAGAGGCAGTAATTTCATGCAGTGGTCAGGGAGGTATACCATCTTTTAGGAGTGAAGAAGAGCAGAATGTAAGTGTGGGGAGGTACGTGAGGCTTTACTTAAAATGAAAGGGGGTAAAGCAGCTGGAACTGATGGCATCATGACAGAAATGTTAAAAGCAGGGGGAGATATAGTGTTGGAGTGGTTGGTACTTTTGTTTAATAAATGTATGAAAGAGGGGAAGGTACCTAGGGATTGGCAGAGAGCATGTATAGTCCCTTTATATAAAGGGAGAGGGGACAAGAGAGACTGTAAAAATTATAGAGGAATAAGTTTACTGAGTATACCAGGAAAAGTATACGGTAGGGTTATAATTGAAAGAATTAGAGGTAAGACAGAATGTAGGATTGCGGATGAGCAAGGAGGTTTCAGAGTGGGTAGGGGATGTGTAGATCAAGTGTGTACATTGAAGCATATATGTGAACAGTACGTATTTAGATAAAGGTAGGGAAGTTTTTATTGCATTTATGGATTTAGAAAAGGCATATGATAGAGTGGATAGAGGAGCAATGTGGCAGATGTTGCAAGTATATGGAATAGGTGGTAAGTTATTAAATGCTGTAAAGAGTTTTTATGAGGATAGTGAGGCTCAGGTTAGGGTGTGTAGAAGAGAGGGAGACTACTTCCCAGTAAAAGTAGGTCTTAGACAGGGATGTGTAATGTCACCATGGTTGTTTAATATATTTATAAATGGGGTTGTAAAGGAAGTAAATGCTAGGGTGTTCGGGAGAGGGGTGGGATTAAATTTTGGGGAATCAAATTCAAAATGGGAATTGACACAGTTACTTTTTGCTGATGATATTGTGCTTATGGGAGGTTCTAAAGAAAAATTGCAAAGGTTAGTGTATGAGTTTGGGAATGTGTGTAAAGGTAGAAAGTTGAAAGTAAACATAGAAAAGAGTAAGGTGATGAGGGTGTCAAATGATTTAGATAAAGAAAAATTGGATATCAAATTGGGGAGGAGGAGTATGGAAGAAGTGAATGTTTTCAGATACTTGGGAGTTGACGTGTCGGCGGATGGATTTATGAAGGATGAGGTTAATCATAGAATTGATGAGGGAAAAAAGGTGAGTGGTGCGTTGAGGTATATGTGGAGTCAAAAAGCGTTATCTATGGAGGCAAAGAAGGGAATGTATGAAAGTATAGTAGTACCAACACTCTTATATGGGTGTGAAGCTTGGGTGGTAAATGCAGCAGTGAGGAGACGGTTGGAGGCAGTGGACATGTCCTGTTTAAGGGCAATGTGTGGTGTAAATATTATGCAGAAAATTCGGAGTGTGGAAATTAGGAAAAGGTGTGGAGTTAATAAAAGTATTAGTCAGAGGGCAGAAGAGGGGTTGTTGAGGTGGTTTGGTCATTTAGAGAGAATGGATCAAAGTAGAATGACATGGAAAGCATATACATGTAAATCTATAGGGGAAGGAAGGCGGGGTAGGGGTCGTCCTCGAAAGGGTTGGAGAGAGGGGGTAAAGGAGGTTTTGTGGGCGAGGGGCTTGGACTTCCAGCAAGCGTGCGTGAGCGTGTTAGATAGGAGTGAATGGAGACGAATGGTACTTGGGACATGACGATCTGTTGGAGTGTGAGCAGGGTAATATTTAGTGAAGGGATTCAGGGAAACCGGTTATTTTCATATAGTCGGACTTGAGTCCTATAAATGGGAAGTACAATGCCTGCACTTTAAAGGAGGGGTTTGGGATATTAGCAGTTTGGAGGGATATGTTGTGTATCTTTATATGTGTATGCTTCTAAACTGTTGTATTCCGAGCACCTCTGCAAAAACAGTGATAATGTGCGAGTGTGGTGAAAGTGTTGAATGATGATGAAAGTATTTTCTTTTTGGAGATTTTCTTTCTTTTTTGGGTCACCCTGCCTCGGTGGGAGACGGCCGACTTGTTGGAGGAAAAAAAAAAAAAATCTGCATACAGGTTTTAAATTGCTTTAACACCCTGAGGGTCCAGACCACCAAGTTGGAAATTATGCCTTCTATTTTATCGAGTGAGCCCAAGAAACTGCCCAATCAAATATTTCAACTAACCATAAAAGTGATCAGAAATTGGTAAATAGCCAATTTCACAAATTTCAAAATATTCCATTTTCAAAACAGGGTCCAGAATAAACAACACAGGCATTCCTGGCACTAAAACAATATTTCCTCTGTTCATTAGTTATGTCTCCAGGCTTTACACATGAATTCCATTTTGATTTTGTATTCACACAAAGAATTTTTAGTTACACCAAAAAATAGAAGATTTACTTTTATGCAATATTGCAATAATTGTATAAATAATATCAGTGCTTTCATGAATGCACATTAGACCCACCATATGCACTATGAACATGGGCAAAAATTGAACATTTCTGCTACTTTGAGCTCAATTTCAAGCTATTTTCATTCTTAAAACCAATCAAAATCATATCAATTTCAGTAACATGTCTCCCATTCTATCAAATGAGACTAAAAAGCCATGAATACAACCATAAAAACCATACAAAAATACACCACAAAGTCAGTGTTTTAATCCAAAAACACCATATATACCATTTTTTTTATATGATGCACACTTACCAGATCTATTCTCTCATATCTAGGCCCAAATTTACCACACACAGCTTATCTGAGTGAACTGGGCTCATGATGTAGTACTATGGCACTGACTTTGGCGTCAAAGCCGTAGAACTATGGCACAGACCCTCAAGGGGTTAAACATAACAAGATAATTGGAATGGTAGGGGGCAGGGCCACCCTTGGCTTGTTGGTTACCATGCATAAATACTGCCATGGTACCATGGGAGTAAAGATTTGAAATAAATGTACAAACACACATGTGAAAATCCATAAAATATTGCCCAGACTGGCTACTACAGATAACAGGTCCAATGGCTCCCTTACCACATATTCATGTATGCCTGGAAAAAATCATACATCTTACTGCATTACAGTACCATATATGAAATGGCTGTTGCATTGTTTAATGCATTCTATGGGGGCCATGTCTCTTCAACTGCTACTGCTGAATGTCTATTCCTCCACGGCTTTTTGCCACAGCACTAAAAATAATAATTGTTGCTCATTAATTAAGTTACAATCTATCCCCAAGTATCAAACAATATTGTCTACAGAATTTTTTCCCCGAGTAGCAAGATTTCATCAGCATATCTATTAGATCTAATCACCAATTTCTTTGCTATCTAAGCCAGTATATCTTGTAAAATTCTAGAATGTCAATTGTATTCATAATTACCATCAATTTTTTTTTTTTTTTTTTTTTTTTAACATGTCAGCTGTCTCCCACAAAGGCAGGGTGACCTAAAAAAAAAAAAAAACACTTTCACCATCATTCACACAGTCTTTGCAGGGGTGCTCAAATATGGCAGTTTAGCTGTCACTCCAAATACACTGACCATCTCCTGCCAGAGGTGTGCAGATATGGCATTAGAAAATGTGAGTTGTGCACACTTGTTGAATTTTAAATTTAAGATGAATTTAATTTCAATATATACATGCAGTTGTACTTACTATTGTAGCCAATTATGTCTCCTATGAAATCATCAATATTGAAGCTTGGTTGCTCATTGTCTACAGATTCAATAAAAGGTGACCGAGTTTGTAGATGGATATCGCCAACATTCTGCATTTCTTGTTCTTCTGTTAACAGTTTTTGTGATTTATTATTTGATACTTCTTCAATAATTACTGGAGTGTTACACCGAGAACCCTTTCTGCTCCCTCCACCTATGGAAAGTTTTTGCACATAAGTGGGATACATGAATTAAGCAAGAAAAATATTACTAAATACTGAACAATAGCTGGAAGGATGAGAGGATGAAATAAAGAAGTAAAACAAGAGAATGAGAATGTATACACGAGACCTATTTGTACAGGAGGGCCCTGTTTTACGGCATTTTGCTAATACAGACATTTCAAATTATACCCAAAAATTTGTTTATATAGCTCCTGATTCGCTATTACAGCATCTGCGTGCCACCCATCCACTCTCAGTTTGCTTATATCAGCGATTCCCAAAGTGGGCAGTACAGCACCCCTGGGGGCAGTAGGAAGATCCAGAGGGAGGGGGGGGATTGAAAAAGGGGGAAACAGGCACGTAACATACATGTTTCACAAAGAATAAAATTAACAGTTATACACAACAGGATAGTTTTATTATATTTTTGGTCCAAAGTCCAAGTTAAGTCTGAACATTTGTTTGGACACGCCACACACCAGCTAGATCAGACAGCAGACGCCATGGGTACTGGCGATGATCGGATTTTCACATCTGCAAGGGCCAAGGTTTGTACTCGCTACAATGCACATTTTAAAGTATAATAAAAATACAGATATAATTAAGTGGTATTGATGGAGAGATGCCAAAGGGTGTGGAAGTGTTGCTGTGCTAGGGCTGTGATTTGCAGTCTGTAAGTATTTGATTTTTAGTTTAACACTGTGTTATGTACTCTTTTTTTTTCTGCTGCATTTTATGACTGGGATGATTTTTACAAGGAACATATATATTTTGTTCCAGAATAAAATATGGCTGCAGCACAGCTGACAAAAGAGAAGTATGGATTTGTATCAGCACCAAATAACCAACAACAACCAATGTGCCCACAGTGTGAAAGTCTTTTCAAATGAAGCCATGAAACATTCCAGTCTTCTTGAACATTTGAAGAAAATATACTCTGATAAAACTGACAAAAACTTGGCATATTTTCAGTCGCTGAGAAAACTTACATTAACGAAAAGCCATTAGAAAAATGTTTGCTAGAACTTCAGAACAATCTAGTGATGGTTTGCATGCATCATACAATATCTCATTGCTGACTGTTAGATCTGGTAAGCCTCATACAATTGGGTAGAGCTTATTCTACCACCAGTTAGGTTCTGCACACAGTTTTACACAAGTCATCTGAACAAATTATTAAAACTATTCCTCTCAGTGATAACTTTGGTCAAAAGAAGAATGGATGAAATGGCTGAAAACACTGAGGATACATTGTGCAACATGCTTAAGAAAAAAGAATTTGGCTTACAATCAGACGAGTCCACTCTACCAAGTAATGAATCTTTGCTTCTTGCTTATGTTCGTTTTGTCAAGAGATGGAAGTTTGGTTCAAGAGCTGTTATTGGCAAGACAACTAGAAATGGATATAATAGGCTAGTCAGTATTTCATATTGTTCAGACTTTTTTCAAACAAAGACATCCCACTTACCAACACTCTTGCTTGTGCAACAGATGGGACACCATCAATGACAGGTTGTCATCATGGCTTCATCAGTTTCTTGAAAAAGGCTGTACCTGGTATGATTATGGTGCACTGTGTAATCCACAGGCAACATCTGGTTGCAAAAAACCTGGGTGGTTGACTTCACAATCATTAAGCACTGTTACCACAGCAGTAAATAAAATTAAGGCACATGTTTTCAATTCCTGACTGTTCTGACAACTGTGCACTGAGAATGACAAAGATTTTGAACATTTGTTGTTGCACACAGAAATTAGATGGCTGTCAAAGGCAAACTTCCTGAGATGTTTCTATTCACTTTTTAAATCAGTTGTTGAATTCTTCCAAGACTACAATTCTATTCTATGTTATGAACTAAGAAACAGCAAGCATATCACTGTTTATCTGTCAGATGTATTCACAAAGTTCAACAAAAGTTAATTTGCAACTGAGAAGAAATGAGGCCAATCTTATCCAAGTCAAATCAGCCCTTTCCACTTTTCTGTCCAGGTTACAGTTATTCAAGCATAACATAGCCAGTCATGAGCTCTTCCAGCTTTCGAGTCTCTCTGAACTGGAGGAGGAGGAGCATATCAGACGATGACGTTCAAGTGTATTGTGCACACCTGAATGAGCAGTATACACACATGTCTGACAGATTTCAGGATCTATTCTTGCTTAAAATACCAGACTGGGTGATCAATTCTTTCCAGATATCAGCAATGAGGAAACAGGAATGGAGGAAGAACTGATTTCACTCCAAAATGACACTGAGCTGAGGCCAAAGTTCAAAAAATCTCAAGATTTTTGGTCACACACACACACACCACACACACACACACACACACAAAACACCACACACACACACACACACACACACAAAACAAAAACACACAAAACCACACAAAAACACACGCACACGCGCACACTTTCTGACTGCTACCCTGCACTGTCGAACAAAGTCAAAATGTACACTACTGCCTTCCCAACATCATATTTAGTAGGTGGTGGCTCAGTGTAGTTGCGAAGCTTCTTTCCAAGCAAAGAAACACTGAAAATTACTGAACATGGGGATATAAGACAACTTCTTAGTGTCTTCAAGCCTGATGTTGAGAAGCTGATGTTCCTGCACCAAGCACATCCATCTCATTAAAACTGAAGACAATGTAGTTAGAGATGAGATGTAAATTTACCTTTTCAAACTGTTAAATAAACTGGTTTAAGATGTTAATTTTTATTTGTGAAATAAATACACTTGTTTATAGTATTAGATCAGTTGCTTTTCTGAATCTGCAGTAAACCTAACAACAAGAAAGAGGTGCTCATTAGTGTTTAGGGGGGAAAGGGTGCTAGGAATATGGCCTGAGAGCTAATGGGGCAGCAGCCTGAAAAAATTTGGAAACCACTGGTTTACGTTTTCCCGGAGTTCCACATCTCTCCTGATTATGTCTGGAAAGGTTCCAAAGTTTTAAGTGTTTTAAAGTTATTGTGTATTTTATATATACAGTAGGGCCCCACTTACATGGCAGGTTAGGTTCCAGGCTACTGCCGGAAAGCAGAAGGCCATTTTTTTCCACTTATCAATTAATATAAATGTCAGATAACAGGTTTACACTAACATATATAAAGTTAACAACAGAACTAGGTATTAAAAGCAATAAAAAGTAAAATACACACACAGGACACCCATTACTACTTACCTTAAAACATGTAGGGTGAGAGGCGAGTTTTATTTGTAGGAAGTCAAGTTTGGGAGATATGGTAGCCAGCCAGGTCAGCCCACCCCACCCCACGAGTGATAAAATACATATACACTGGTACCTTAACTTATGAGTTTAATTCGTTGTGTAACTCAATTTGCTCATATATCAAATCAATTTTCCTCACTGAAATTAATTAAAATGCCATTAATCCATTCGAACCCCCAAAAAAACACCCCAATTTTTTGTTACAGGTTTTTAAAGAAGAAAAATGTATTTATAAATAAGAAATGGTTTTTGCCTTTTTTGCCAGGTCCCAGCAATGATTTAGAAATGCTGGAGTATATATGAAACTTTTTCAAGCACAGTGTAAGATGAGTGTCACTCCACTGCCAGTAGAGTGACACTCGTGGAGTGACATTTGATGATCATGCACTGCCTTGGATTTATTTTTCACCGTTACAAATTAACATGTCTGTCAATCTGTGTTTCTGTATCTGTTTCTATTTCCCTGAATCTGTCTAGCTCTAAGTTTATCTCTGTCTCTGCTTATCTGTCTTTCTGTCTTCCTGTCTCTCTACTTATATCTCAGAGAGAGAGAGAGAGAGAGAGAAAGAAAAAGAAAAAGAAAAAGAAAAAGAGAAAAAGAGAGAGAGAGAAAAAGAGAAAGAGAAAGAGAAAGAAAAGAAAAGAAAAGAGAGAGAGAGAGAGAGAGAGAGAGAGAGAGAGAGAGAGAGAGAGAGAGAGAGAGAGAGAGAGAGAGAGAGAGAGAGAGAGAAAGAAAGAGAGAAAGAAAGAGAGAAAGAAAGAGAGAAAGAGAGAAAGAAAGAGAAAGAAAGAGAGAAAGAAAGAGAGAAAGAGAGAAAAGAAAGAGAGAGAGAGAGAGAAAGAGAAAGAGAAAGAGAGAAAGAGAGAGAGAAAGAGAGAGAAAGAAAAGAGAGAGAGAGAGAGAGAGAGAGAGAAAGAGAGAGAGAGAGAGAGAGAAAGAGAGAGAGAGAGAGAGAGAGAGAGAGAGAGAGAGAGAGAGAGAGAGAGAGAGAGAGAGAGAGAGAGAGAGAGAGAAAGAGAAAGAAAAAGAAAGAGAGAGAAAGAGAGAGAAAAAGAGAAAGGTTACTCTGCTGCTGATCTGTTGTTAAACCTCTCCACTAAGTGGCACCAGTCACTGGATGAATCCAAAGTCAGCTGTGTGGTAGCACTGGACATTGCTGGCGCTTTCGACCGGGTGTGGCACCAGGGCCTCTTAGCAAAACTTCAAGCACTGGGAATTGCAGGCTCTACGCTATGTCTCCTCAGTGATTACCTTCATGGTAGATCTCTAAGTGTAGTCCTCAATGGAACGGAATCAGCAAGACATCCTATTGGGGCAAGCGTTCCACAAGGAAGTGTGCTGGGTCCACTGTTATGGAATGTCTACTTCAAGACCTTCTTCATCTCATCCCAGAATCACATGATATGCAGACGACTGTACACTGACATTCACTTACCCAAAGGGAAAGAAATGCCAGCTGCTCTAAGCTAAAACAATCACCAGCTGAGAGCTATATCAGCTTGGGGAAATAGATGGCAAGTAACATTTGCACTGAGAAAACGCAAATGATGATCGTCTCTAGGCACCATGATGGTAATGCTGGGCAGTAGTAAGGATGAATGGGAGGATGTTGGCACCTGGAGAAGAATTGATACCCTTTGGGGGGTGAAATTTGACTCCAAACTAACCATGAAGAACCATGTTGTAAATCTGAAAACAAGGCAGCCAGGAAGCTTACAGCACTTCGCCGTATCTCGCATCTGCTTGACAGAAAGGGGTTGC